TCATATAATTTGTTTTTTTCCCTAATATTTGTAAAATAATATTTTTTTGTGGGGGGGAGGGGTAAAAAGTTACCAAAAAGTCTTTTTTGAAAATCAGCATTAATTAAAAGGCTCACTCATCATAACATATTTGCAAGAGCAATCAGTCATCAATTGTTCAACCTATTCCAATGATAATAACTAAAAAACATTCAAATATTTTCAGAGGATTAACTTATATCAAATATCCTGGAAATTATTCAATAAATGTTGATCTGGAAGATTACTTCAACCTGAAAATAAGTTGATAGCCACATTAAATGATGGAACTTTTCTCCCGAATGATATTTTGATGCAGAATATCATAATTCCTTTCATCCTTATATTCATTACGAGTCAGTGATGAAGGTTGATAATGATACTTTATATGTTTCCATAAAATGTGAAATGATCCATTAGAACAATTAATCTGTATGAATAATCGTACAATTCATGCATATGGTGATAAAGTACTTTGGAGGTTTGTGTGTGTATATATATATAATTTTTTTTAAAATTAAATAAACTACTTATTCATATATCAACTTCTAATAAATTTCATTAGTAATTTATATGACACATCAGTAGGCTATGGTGGTGAATGGTGTGGTGCATTACCACATGAAGAATTACCTGTGTGTGATTGCAAAGCTCCACCATTTACACTTTTACCAAGATTACCCTTTGCACATCTTAAATCTATAGAATATTTTCAACCAATAAGAATAATACAAAATCAGGAATAGTTAGACATCGTATTGGTTTCTGTGTCAAATGATATACCAATTGACTATTCAATACACAGCCTTGAATGAATGTTAACTCTTTTTTTCAATAAACTTATCCTGTTTCTTCCATAATAATTCGTGCTCCTGAACCTTACACGCTCATATCACACATCAAACACACTACAAAAATTCTCAATCAACAAGTCAGAAATGTCACAATCACTATTGCAAAAAATATTGGTGTTCATTTATGAAATAAAATTTGTGGTGTTTAAAGTTAATTAGTATTAGCATTTCTGCTTAAGAGTTTATTATTTATTTATTTTTTTTGGCTTTAACTAAGCTTGGATTTTTTTTTTTTTTTTTTTTGGAGACAAAGAGGTTCATATATACTTAATCAAGCGTGGAAAGTTGTTTAATGAAAAAAATTTTTCTCCATAAACTTTTTTAAGTTCATACCTCCTCCTTT